TCTCGCGGCCGACCGGACCGAATGGGCATCCGCCAAGGTGGCCAAAAATACAACCCGGTACCCGCGCATCCACTTGATCCACCGGTGACCACACTAAACCCACCCACTGATTAATTAGCTGCTAACTAGCTTGCTAGCTAGCCAGAGCCGGTTAACCGGGCCCCGGCCGCCGGCCACCAGCCACCGCCGTAGAAAATGATCGGAGCTGAGCAGTGGTCCCGAAAGGATTGGGAGACCCCAGAATCGCCTGGGGAACCAAAATTTTGCGCAGAGAGCCAAATTTCAGGATTCCGTGGAGGTGGAGGACTCACTTAGCTAGTTTTACAAAAAAGTTAAGAGCAATTTTAACATGCTCCCTCTCACTGCTATGTTTGACCAAGTTTATAGAGAAATATATCAACGTCTATAAAATCAAATAAATAAAATTTGAATTTATTTTGAAATATTTAGCTATCTCAAATTTGGATATTTATTTCATGACGAATCTAAGATACTGATTTGGTATTGTAATTATTGATATTTTGCTCTATAAACTTGGTCAAACATAGAGAAATTTGATTTTTCTGAAAAGTAATACACCTTACATTTGGAAACGAAGTATCATTTTACAGAAGGAAAAGGCCTGAACCATTCTCTATTCCTTCCCGAGAAGTCATTTATTCATTTTCCACCTTGTAAACGAGCGTATAATGATGCAAGAGTAAGGTGGGCCTCTACAGAAATTTAAGCAGGGCAAATTTATGCAATTAAGGAGGAAATAACATAGTATTGGTGTATGGGTTTTGGGCCAAGTAAACCCAGATGAAGGGTGTATCCGTTATATGTTTGCATTTTCTTTGAAGCTCCAATTGGTTCTTGTGAAGGAAAAGGCAGAGGCAACTCCGGGCAGTGTCGCCGGAGACAAGATTGGACCGAGACGAGGGTGCAACGGGCTACAGACGCGGATAGGTAGAAGGTTTGCAACGCGGAGGGTAGGGCACCAACGTCGGAGATGAAAATTGTGCTCCGTAGGGATAGAAGGGATGTGTAGAAGCGGCAGTAGTGCCGGAGATGATGATGGTTGGGTCATACCGAGGTGATGGAGTAGCCCTGTGGCAACTAGCAATAGAGGGCAGTTCATATCTGCGGATGGCATGGAGGCTAACAAGTTAGGATCCGCGGATGATAAGAATATGATGATTATGGGCCGTTGAATGAAAAAAAAATATGAAAAGGCAGCAGAGAACTTGTTAAAAGTAGAAGGTCCCCTTTGCTTCGTTGTTAAAAGTAAACATGATCATTGATGTTCTATTATGTTTTATTGATCACCGGGAGAATAGATTAGCTCTACATTGTCACAAAATCAAATAATATACTAGTAGATTCTATCCTCACAAAGAACAGTTCACGCAAAAACCAACACCATATCATACAAAAAGTGCACCCCTGAAATGCTGCTGCCATGCTAGCTGGTCGACGGATCAATAGAAAACAGAAGTTGACAATCATGGCAGTAGCACGCGTAAGGAAACGGAGCTACGCCGCCCTACCAGACGCCACATATTAAAGTTATTACAGAAACCCTAAACAGCAGGCAGCATATATGTCATTATCCGTCTGTTAAGATATGACGACGACAAAGCTACAGAGAACCCGGCCCACGGCCATGGACCATACCGTGTTGTCTAGTCCATACACAAACAGCTGCCAGACGCCCGGCTAACTAATGCCATCGATTAATCCTCCGTCCGCCGCTAATCAGATACGATTGCCTGGTTAGCGTCGCTGATCTCGCTGCTAATGTGGGTGCTTAAGCGCTAAGCGGCACTGGAAGCAACAGTGTAAACCTAAACCCAATAATGGGGGAGACGACCAACAGCAGCCGGCCGGCAGAAGAAGCGGGCCGGCCATTCCCGACGCCAACCGCAAGGTTGGTAGAGAGAGGCCAACCGATACTCCCAAACACTACCAAAAGTATTTCCTTCCTTTTTCTTGAAACCAACTCCTAACCCTAATTATGCACGTACCAAATTAGAGGGAGACCAGGATTAAATAATTGATTAAGCAGCTTATTTTAGATGGGTGCATGGATTCTATGCGTGATTGCAACTTCAATCGGTATTCAAATTAACAATAAGAGATTGCTTGGTACTCCTCTTCGGGGGAAAAGGGGATTTTGTTGTCTTGGAGGTTGGAGGCCAGCAGGTGTGATGCTTTGTCTATGTCAAAATGATACATTATGTGTGAAAAAGGAATTAACTAAAAAAAAATCTTGTGAAGGAGAGGGAAAACCCCTCTACGTCGATGGATGCACACAACCATAATAATAGGGCAAAACTGAGGTGCATTAATTGATCAGGTCATTTTAGATGGGTGCATAGATTCTACGCATGATTGTAACTTCAACTGATATGTTCAAACAAAGGGATTGCTTCCGTATTCGTCTTCTGGGGAAAGGCGGTTTGTGATATAACCCTTCTAGGTCAGTAGGTATGATGATGTTTTGCCCATGTCAAAATGATATTCTTTTTGACAAAAAGCAAATTGGCTAATCTTTTTTTCACTGAAATGCATGAGAAGGCAAACCCTAGCCTCTACATCATGTGATGTACATAGCCATAATAGTGCGAAGTAAAGTTGATAGAGAAAGATAAAGTAAATGGGAGCCACAACTACACAAGGTTACAATAACCACAATAGGGATTACATGCTACAATTAATTCCTCATAAATCCTATTATTAGACCGACATTCAAACTGGTTGTAGTTCGAGCTACCATCTCCAAGTGGTTGCATATGGAAACTAAAGAATTTCACACTCCACGCTCCATACTGAGTTAACTAATCATTTCTGGGCTATATTCTTGTCTATTAACTTGTAATTTCGGTCTATATTTCAACGGTTGAAGGACAAGGAGAAGTGGATTGTTGTTCTTGGCGCTTTAAGTGATTGCCAAATATTTATGTTCTAACATGGATGGAAGTTTATTTGTGTAAAAATATATGATGTAATGCTTGAGGCCAGTGGATCGATGTGCTATCACTCACTTTTTGGTGCCAAGTGGCACGAACTTGTTAGCCTTGTGATTACTTTGGGTTATGTTGATTATTTCGATGCAGAGCCATGAAGAAACAAAGTTGTCACTATTTGACTTAGAATTTTGAAGTTAAGAGGGTGATAGTTTAAAAGAGGCGCTACATATGCAACATGCATGGCACTTCCATAGTGTGCCGAGCCACACTCCTCATTCGCTCTTCGCTACGGAGGCCACATATGCCAGTGGCAAGCCCCCTGAGGGCAGAATTCCCTTATAATTAAAGGAGCATGTAACACACCACTTTTAGTACTACATCGGCTATATATTGAGTTACACTCTCATATACCTCACTTTAGCTCCAAACATAGTAACACCTAATTTTTATTTTCTCTGTTATCGAAATATAATGTTCAGACGTGTCCGCATACTCCATTGCACAATTTAATTTTGGCAATTGTTTAATATGAATATTAGTAAACAATTAAAATTTAACACTATGAAATTATGAAATGTCTTCTCAAATATATCGAGTTTAAAAGCGTCATCAGTGTTTACTCCCAAATGGGTCGATATTTTCTTGGTCACTGCTGATGGGTCAAATGTGTCGTATTTTTTAACTATTTAAAGCCGTCTCAAAGTCAAAGTTAAGCTGTAAAAGTGGATTACACTCTTGATACTGTTTCATCAAATTTAGTAATCTTCTTTTACCTCGGTGGTTAGATATTTTTACTGCATGCTTTCTAGAACGTTGTTTACATCACCACCAGTAGGTGGTACTAGAGTGGTAATTGTCTGTATTCCATATATAGTCTAAAGTAAAGTTGGGTGTCTACATACACCATGCTGGAGTATGCTTCAAGCAAAACGGTTGAAAAAACAAATGGACACATGATCCATGCTGACCGATAGATGCAATTAAGTTGCTACTTGAGGTAGTTCTTGGGGTGTGGGTTCTGCCCCCTTGGAACACAAGGTAGAGACCACAATATGGTGCAATTTGGTAGGCGCCTTTCTTTATTCCAAACCCTCACCCTCCTTCCCCACCTTCTATCCCATCTCTCTTACCAGCCTTATCATGACCCTCCCTTTTCCCCTACCCTCCTCTCTCATACCTTAAACCCCAAACTCTCTCTCTCTCTCTCTCTCTCTCTCTC